CTGTGTATAATCCCTTAAATAAAGAAATAATTCTTCATATTGTGCTGTACATTTGAAACCCTGATGGTACTTAAATCGGTTTAGCAGGTTCTACAGCAATGGTCCTATCAGGGACCAAGGGTTAGTGCTCTGTATCATTCCTGTGGGGTCTCAGGTCAACGGGAGTCCAGCCTTTGTGAATTAAAGATACAATTCAGAGTATCCCTCTCTATCCTACATCTCACCACTTTTAATACCAAAATAGTTAAAGGACTTTTAAGGGGAACTATTGGATTGCCAAGACCATTATGGGTTTGTTATGCTTTATAATTCATTCATTTGTGTAAAACTTTTCAGAAATAAATGGACACATGAATAAATCTATCCACGAGTCAGAGTGTTGTTTCCTTTTCACCCAGGGACAGTTTCAGGTTTCATTTTGAGCTGCAGGTTTGCTATCATGATGTTAATGTTTAACAGGCCGTACCTGTCATTGATCCGTCACATCCATTGGCTCTCACTTGTATCAGTAGAGGAATGTGTTTGTGATGTGGTCCGTGGGGGGCTGTCGCCTCTGCCAGATATCACTATTAGCTCCTGATGACGTGACATGATATAAGAACAGGTCGGATACTGGCCTTAATGAAGAAGAAATCCTGTTTTGTTTATGTCACAATCCTAGTGTCCCCTGTCCTAGTGTCCCCTGTCATGATTTGTTGTTGGAATTATGTTCTCCCTGTCTCTTGTCTTCCTTCCTGTGTTTTCTCTCATGTGTCTGATTGTCTCATTGTGTTCACGTGTTGCGCTTGTGTTTCTGCCTCCCTTGCCCAGCTGTGTCTTGTCCTGTGATTACCCTGCTGTGTATTTAGTCTTGTCTTCCCCTGTGCTCCATGTCGGTTCATTGTCTTTCCTGTCACCCTTCATGTTTGTCACGGTTAGTTTTGTCTGGATGCTACCTCGTGTTACCTACTCTTTGGATTACCTCGTGTTACCTACTCTTTGGATTTATGGTTTTGTTAAGTGTTTTTCATTTTCAACAATAACAGCTTGTTTTTTTTGTAAATAAAGCTAGCTTTTTGTTACATTTTGAAACCCGCTTCCCTTTTTAAACTGCATTTGGGTCCTACCTTTTCCCGAATCGTAACAGTTGATCACAGAAGTGAGACTTCTCCTTCCCATTGATACTCAGTGTTTCATGCTGTTTGTGTCAAATCTAATATATTCAATCTTTGGGAAGGTCCTCTAACTTTAAATCACTACACCCTTATAACCAAACACATTTCCATATCCATGGATGAGACAATGTATTTCTGCCTATATCTGTAATTCTCTGAGCAGATGTTATTGTCCTTCAGAGGAATAGGAGCAGCCTTACAACTTCCTCTCTCTCTCATATTGACCTCTCTGTAACCCCACTTCACACCCATGATCAGTATGTCTAACTCTTTCCCCCTCTCTTCAAACACTGAACTGTACCTGTCAACCTCCCTCCCTCTCTCTCCCTCCTCTCTTTAAACATAAAATACAATCTTCTCTATCTCCTCCCCCTTCCTCAGTCCCCCTCTTGCCTCCTCTCTTCTACCAAGCCAACTATTTTTCCCAACTCCACCTCTCACAACGCCTGCTCATCTCTTACCATTTAAGAGATGAGGCGCCCCC